ACTTGTTCAGTAAGCACCTGGGAATTCTTGAAAATACCCTACTCTACGCTAATGAGACCTTAGCTTTCCGCAAATGATCTTTAACCCTGCCTGCAGTTCTTCTCCCACCATAGAACAACTAAGTTCTGTGTTCCCCTTCTTACAATAGGTCTGTACCACTACATGTAAATGAAGTATGCCTAGCAGCCTCAGCCCCAGGGAATCAAACATATCCACCCCCTAAGCCCCTCTCACTCCCCACATTTTAAAATGTTCCTATTCACAAAATAAACACTTGCTCCGTCTCTCATTCCTTTCCTTCACCATGACCGCCTGAGATTCATCATTTACTCTGGGGAAGGACATGCTTCCGTTCTCTCTGAAGAATTCTCTCCTGGACTGCTGGACTCCAGAAATTGGCTTATGGCCAGACAGTCATAGCTGCCTTGTCACTTCTGAAGTCTGCCCAACTTTGAGAGCTGGGTGCTCATCTGCAGAGGGGAGCCGCTGACCACTGACCAAACAGCAGTCAGACCTTTAGGTGTTCACCCACATCCTCTGCCATTAGCAGGGCAGCTTAACCGAAGGGTTGCAACATTTCGGTATCACCATTGACTTTGGAACATCTAATTTTCAACTGCCATCTGGTACTGGCAATCTCATTTAAAAAAGAGAAAAAGAGCTAACTGTAACACCTGTGGAAAGCTCTTTTCCACACTCTGGTGAGATCCAGGAGCCTTTCGCATGAACCTTACTTTGAATGCTCTAGGTGCTCCTAAGAGAAGCAGAACCTGAGACTCCCAGGTTTCATTTGATTCCCGCCCCAAAGATGACAACATCTGGACCTGCCTGTGAGAGGAGCATGCACTTTCAGCAGCAGCATAGAGGAACGTGGCAGAACAACAGATTCTCCCGAGAAATCACACCACAGTGTTGAGCAGATTTTCTAAAAATAAAATTAAAATAATTTGATGATGATGAAAAATATCCTACTCTCAAGACACAAAATAGTTTGATGAGGCTAACACAGTTGAATAGAGCTCAAGTAACATTTTTGTGTTGCATCTAAATGCTTGTACCTACATATTACCTATACAGAGAGGAATGTCTGTACGTAATATATATGTTTTAAACAACCACATATAGATCTCTGTTTAGGTGTCTGGTATTTTTCTAAACCCTGCATTTATTTATTTATTTATTTATTTATTTATTTATTTATTTATTTATTTATCATCTCTTTACAGCCTAATACTAGCCTCCTCCCTCCTTTCCTCTCACCCTCACATCCTCTTCCACCATCACCCCACCTCCTTTTTCTCAGAGATGGGGAGACTGCCCCACCAAAGGATTCCAGCCAACCTTGACATCACATTTGTCACCCTGCACAAAACTCAAGTCCAAGTGGATCAAAGACATCAACATAAAACCAGTTACACCAAATCTAATAGAAGTAAAAGTGGGGTAGAGCCTTGAATTCATTGGTACAGGAGACAATTTTCTGAACAGAACACCAATAGCTCAAGCTCTAAGATCAACAATTAATAAACACTGCATTTTAAAATCTGGAATTGTTGGATTCTTCACCAGATCATAGACTGATTTGTTGTTTCTATATAGGTTATTTTTTGTGATTACAACGATTCTATGTCTCCACAGGTTTCTGTGGATCAGCAATGACCCAAAGAAGAGAAACACTCTTCTTGAAATTCCAGGGAAGTTTTGGAATTCAAAGAACTCAAGAAGGAAGCTGGCAAAGAGCCTATGCTTCATGGACATGGAGGTTTAGTGCAAACTCAAAAGATGTCTTCCTATTCTTAGAGGTAACAGCTGTCAAGTGAGTTCAAAGAACATTACCTGCATCTTATTTGCTTTAGCTAATAAAAAGCTTTATTTTAACCACATTTTCATTAGCTTAGGATCAGATCCTAACAAGCTCTGAGGTTATCATTAATATCACCAAAGAATAAAAATAGTTGTTCGCATTGGCTTTTTCAATAGAAATCATACACATCCAGTTATTATGCTTTTTTTTACAAGGTTATTCAGAATAAAATAACCTTCTAGTATAGTATAGTATAGTATAGTATAGTATAGTATAGTATAGTATTCAAGGTACTTGTTCAATTGTTTCTATTCAAGATATTCTCTCTCTCTGTATCTCCCTCTCCTTCTCTGTGTGTTTAGTTTCTGTGTATATAGGTTTGTGTGTCTGGGTCTGAGTGTGCACTTAAGCATACATGCAGGTGCACATACACAGGCATATGAATTATGCTCAATGTCTTCTTCAAGAATGTTCAACCTTTTGCTTTTTGATGGGGTCTTGTCTTAGTTTGGAATTTAATACTGTGAAGAGACATCATGACCACTATGGCCCCTTTTCATAAGGAAAATGTTTTTTTCTTTATTAATTACACTTTACTCACTTTGTATCCCCCCCCGTGGTTCCCTCCCTCCCTCCATCCGAATCCCTCCCTTCCTCCACCCTCTGCATGCACGCCCCTCCCCAAGTCCACTGTTAGGGGAGGACTTCTTTTCCTTCCTTCTGATCCTAGTCAATTAGGTCTCATCAGGAGTGGCTGCATTGTCTTCTTCTGTGGCCTGGTAATGCTGCTTCCACCTCAGGGGGAGGTGATTAAAGAGCAGGCCAATCAGTTCATGTCAGAGACAGTCCCTGTTCTTATCACAATGGAACCCACTTGGATACTGAACTGCCATGGGCTACATCTGTGCAGGGGTCTTAGGTTATCTCCATGCATTGTTCTTGGTTGGAATAGCAGTCTCAGGAAAGACCCCTGTGCTCAGATTTTTTGGTTCTGTTACTCCCCTTGTGGAGTTCCTGTCCTCTCCAGATCTTACTGTTTCCCACTTCTTTCCTAAGATTCCCTGCACTCTGCCCAAATGTTGCCCATAAGTCTCAGCATCTACATTGATAGTCTGCAGGGCAGAGCTTTCCAGAGGTCTTCTGTGTCAGACTCCTGACTTGTTCCCTCTTTTCTCCTTCTTCTGATGTCCAGCTTCTTTGCCTTTCTGGATAGGAATTGAGCATTTTAGCAAGAGTCTTCCCTCTTGATTAGTTTCTTTAGGTGTATAGATTTTAGTAGGTTTATCCTATATTATATGTCTATATGAGTGAGTATATACTGTGTGCATCTTTCTGCTTCTGGGATAGCTCACTCAGGATGAACTTTTCCAGATCCCACCATTTACCTGCAAATTTCATGATTTCCTTATTTTTTATTGCTGAGTAATATTCCATTGTGTAGATATACCACAATTTGTGCATCCATTCCTCCACTGAGGGGCATCTGGGCTGTTTCCAGCTTCTGGCTATTACAAATAAAGCTGCTACAAACATGGTTGAGTAAATGTCCTTATTGTACTTGACAATCTTTTGGATATATGCCTAAGAGTGGTATAGCTGGATCTTGAGGAAGCGCTATTCCTAGTTGTCTGAGAAAGCGCCAGATTGCTTTCCAGAGTGGTTGTACAAGTTTACATTCCTACCAGCAGTGGAGGAGGGTTCCCCTTTCTCCACAACCTCTCCAGCATGTGTTGTCTCTTGAGTTTTTGATCTTAGCCATTCTGATGGGTGTAAAGTGAAATCTTAGGGTTGTTTTGATTTGCATTTCCCTGATGGCTACTGAGGTTGAGCATTTCTTTAAGTGTTTCTCTGCCATTCGAAGGAAAATGTTTAATTGGGGCTGGCTTACAGTTTCAGGGGCTTAGTCCATTATCATCACGGCAGGAAGCATGGTGGATTGGAGGTATGGTGCTTGAGAAGGAGCTGAGAGTTCTACATCTTGATCTGCAGGCAGAAGAAACAAACTGCTCCACAGGGGTTATTTTGAGCATAGGATACCTCAAAGCCCACTCCCACATGACATACTTCCGCCAGCAAGGCCAAACCCATTCCAACAAAGCCACATCCCCTAACACTGCCACTCCTCTAGGTCATGCCTTCAAATGAGTCTGGTGTGTGTGGGGGTCATACCTATTCAAACCACTACAGACCTCTTCACTGAACCTGTTGGGAATTTGTTTGGTTAGAGTGTCAGGGGGGCACACTGCTGTGATCCTATTCTCTGGGTTCTCCCAGTGTTGGGATTACAGGGAAGTGCAGAGAAGGTCAGCTCTTTACTTGGCTACTAAGAATTCAAACTCCTCAAGATTAAAAAACAAACAGTTTGCCCCCACGACCACATCACCAGCTGTGCTGGACAGTTTTATGTCAACTTGAGACAGGATGTAGTACATTTTCTTGATTGATGATTGATGGGAGAGGGTCCAGCGCACCGTGGGAGATGCGGTCCCTGGTCAGGAAATCCTGGGCTCTATAAGAAAGTAGGCTGAGGAAGACTTGAGGTGCAAAGCAACAAGCAGCATTTCTCCATAGCCTCTGCACTGGCTCCTGAATCCAGGTCCCTGCCTTCAGTTTCTGTCTGACTTCTCTCAGTGATGAACTGTGATATAGAACTATAAGTTAAAATAAACTGTTTTCCCCCAAGTTGCTTTTTATCATAGCAATAGAAACCCTAAGACAGCCTTGCCCTAAAAAATGTTCCTTTTTCCCCAGAATTACTTGTTACAGTTCAGTAAATAATAAAAAAACTGTAGGGGTTAATAATTTACCAACTATTCTACTAAGTTGTTTCCTTTAAAGTTTATATTAGAGTTTGTACCTAGTTTTATTATAACTGGTTATGCCATGTTTCATTGATATTCCTGGAAGACCAGAACTTTCTTTTTTAAAGTGAAATGAAGAGCAGTGAGTCTGCAGGAGAAAGTAGGCTGTGGGGAGGGACATGGGAGAATAGAAGGAGAGGAAACTGTGGTTGGGATGTAATCCACGAGAGAAAAATAATAAAATAAGAAAAACAATTCAACATTAGAAATAAAAATAGAATGACTTGTTACCATTAAGTAAATCATTTAATAACTGTCTGGGCTTTTTGTTTTTTTGGAAAGACAGCAGCAGGACATTTACAGCATAAACATCTGGAAACAATCAGAAGAACAACATGGAAGAACCCGAGAAAAGTGTTGCAACCCATGGAGTCAGATGTATTTCCAAGATCAAGGTATGGGTTATTTAGATGTATGCATGTATATAGGCGTGAGAGACTTTTAAACAAGCATTGAAAATCCTTGTAACATTGCTCAGCTTACATGAAGTTTTGTGACACAAATGCCATTTTACCCAATATGTTGTTAATTTCTTGCCATAAAGAAATTGGTTTTATATTATGGATAGCTAACCAGGATTAATCATCCATGAAATTTAATCAAAATGCTTTAGAGCTACTTTTGATGTTGTTGCTATTTATTTAATCATTTATTTAATTCATTTATTTAATCACTTTGCCGACTACTTTCAGCCCCCTCTCCCCTCTCTTTTCAGGCCTACTGTCAGGCCCCCTCTCTCCAATCCTTCCTCTCATTCTTCTCAGAGAAGAAGAGGCCCCCCAAGGGGTACCATCCCACCCCGGCACCTCAAGTGTCAGCTGCACTAAGAACATCTACTCCCACTGAGGCCTTACAAGGAAACTCACCTAGGGGAAAGGGTTCCAAAGGCAGGCAACAGAATCAGATACAGCCCCTAATCCCATTGTTAGGGGACCCAAATGTTGACCAAGCTGCACATCTGCTACAAGTGTGTAGGGAGTATAAGTCCAGCCCATGCATGCTCTTTGGTTGGTGGTTCAGTCTCTGTGAGCCCCCATGGGCCCAGGTTGATTTTCTCTGTAGGTGTTCTTGTGGTGTACTTTACCCCTCTGGCTCCCTCTATCTTTCTTTCCACTCTTCCACAAAACTCCCTGAGCTCAGCCTGTTGTTTGACTGTGGAATTCTGCCTCTGCTGCATGAAACCTCAGCTGCTGGATGTAACCTCACAGAAGACAGTTATGCTAGGCTCCTGTCTGCAAGCGTAGCAAAGTATCATTAGTAGTGTGAGGGGTTGCCTCTCTCCCAAATTGACGGTCTTTGGTTTGCCATTCTCTCAATCTCTGCTCCACCTTTACTGCTACACTTTTTGTAGGCAAGACAAATTTTGGATCAAAGATTTTCTGAGTGGTTTGGTGTCCCCCTCCCTCCTTTGTAAATCCCACCTGGCTACAATAAGTAACAACTTCAGACTCATTAACACCCACTGCTAAGGGTCTCAGCTAGGCTTACCACCATGAACTCTACAACCTTCCCCTGTCCCAGAGGTGCAATTCTCAGAGATTTCTGTTCTTTCCCAGTCCTCCCTCCATCTCTGATCCTCACTTTGTTACCCTCCCCAGTCCCTCTCTCACCCAGTTTTCTCCCTTTATCTACTTTAGATGTCTATTTTACTTCCTCTTTGGAGTGAGAATCAAGCATCCTCTCTTGGGACCTCCTTGGATTTTTTGAGTCTATGGATTGTAACCTGGTTATTCTGTATTTTAGGACTAATATCCATTTATAAGTGAGTATATACCATGTGTATTTTTTCTTTTTTGTGTCTGGGTTACCTCACACAGGATGATCTTTTCTAGTTCGTTCCATTTGCCTGCATATTGCATGGTGTATTTGTTTTTAATAACTTGTAAGACCTGGGGTCTCACAGCTCAGGAGTTCAAGATCGTGCCCTTCCCAGAAACTCCCCCAGACCAAGACTCGTTGCAAAAGCAAGAGGTTTATTAACCATTGCGCAATGGGGTCACCCCTGCCGGTCAGCAAAGAATGGCACCCGTAGACAAAGGCCTTTAGGTTTTTAAAAGAAAAATTGCGGGAGATTTGAAGTTGCAGTCTTGGCAATCTAGGATTGGACGAGGAAGCTATAAAGTAAGATAATTGGTTAGTCTTAGGTGCTCAAGCTTGGCCAGTCCTGCCAAGTGTGGATGCAGCTGCAATTGAAGGTGGGGGTGGTTAACTCATCCTTGAAGATTAGGGGCTACAGACTTTTGGCTGGAGGTCAAAAGCTACTCAGAAGAAGTCTAGATTTGTTGCTAAGAAATGCTATCTCAAAGACAGGAGTTTTTCTTTTTGCTGAGTGAAGGTCATTGCTTGCTTGCCTTTTTTTTTTCTATCTGTCCTCATAGATAAGGTCACATTTTTCCATTCTCTGGAAAGGTATTAAGAGGCTTTAGCTTAACCTGAACCTAAAACTCAAAACTATAGGCTTTAGAAGACATATAGGTTACAATGTTAGTCTAACCCTTTCAAACTGAGTAGTATTCTATAGTGTAAATGTACCACATTTTCTTTATTCATTCTTCAGGTGAGAGACATGTAGGTTGTTTCCAGTTCAGGTTATTACAGATAAAGATGCTATGAACATAACTGAGCAAGTGTCCTAGTTGTATGGTAGAGCATCTTTTGGGTATATGCCTAGGAGTGGTATAGCTGGGTCTTGAGGTAGAGCTAGTCCCAATTTTCTGAGAAACCCAGATTTAATTCCAAAGTGGTTATACAGGTTTGCACTCCCACGAACAGCGGAGGAGGGTTCCCCGTCACATGTTCTCCCGTCACATGTTCTCTAGCATGTGCTGTCACTAGAGGTTTGATCTATACATTCTGACAGATGTAAGTTGGAATCTCAGAGTCATTTTGATTTGCATTTCTCTGATGACTAAGGACATTAAAGATTTCCATAAGTGCTTTTGAGCCATTTGGTTTTTGGTGTTTAATTTTTAAAAAATATTTTAGAGGGTCTTAAACAAAGATGGGGCTTAAAATGTAGTTAGGCATGTTTTAAATTGTGGTGGAGTTTAGTCTGATATCAGAAGTCAAGTCAGTGCTCAGTCTTCAGGTGTTCCTGATAGAAGGTCAGTGGTCATGGGTAGAAAACTGTTCCTCTGAAGGAAGTACTCTGCTTATTAATATGCAAAGATGACTATATGACCTGGTCAGACAAATATTTTCTTCAAGCTTTGGCAATACAACAATCATTGTTTGTAAGAAAGCTGTTTATTCTGTTAGCTGCTTTGGTGGTATTAAGTATTTTAGAGACAACTACTGTTCTCATAGCTACAAAGGTGTCTTCACAGCACAAAATGTGAACTTACATTAACCCAGAAAATTCAAGCACTGGCTTATTTTTTGCAGAGCCCTTCAAATATTCCTCTTGAGCTGCTACTTCTTAAGCCATCCTGTCATTAGCTCATTTTCCGTTTGTTCACGTGTGGTGGAATCCATATATTAATGTAAAAGAGGCTTCAGAATCATCTCCTAGAAAGTGCTTTTTCCAACAATGATATACAAATTATTGGAACTCAAAATACTTTATGCTTTTCTACAGTTCTCACATGCTTCTAGGGAGTCCAGATCCCCTGGCTTCTAATCCTCAACTGATGCTTATTAACTATTCCTTTCTGGACAATTTATGCATCTTGTTTATATGACACTGTCTCTCATCTGAAAAGAGGAATGGTAGTCCTACTTCTTAAGATTAAAAAACAATTTCTGAGACTTCTCTCTTTGTGTTTATGTCTGTCTGGTTCTGTCTCTGTCTCTGGATGTGTGTGTGCTCACCCTTCAGGGCTACCCTCTACTAATGGCATGAGGGATTAGATACAGGTGCTCACACACACCAGGCAACTTCTCTATCCCATATCTATAATTACTTCTACAACTGTAAGGTGTTTTCATTTATGTAAATTAATGTTTCATTTTGTAAATAATTATTTTGGCCTCATTTATGTTGGTGTACCAGGTGAGTGTCTGGTAACCTTGGTGGTCAGAAGAATGTGTTACATCTCCTGCAACTGGCGTTTTCAGTGTTTTTCAACCATCATGTCTGTCCTGGGAAAATAACTCAGGTTCTCAGCAAGAGCAACTAGTGCTCTTAAGCACCGAGCTGCATCCACAGCTTCATGTATTAGGATAATGATGAGCAATGTGGTTATTGATTACTAGGATTAATAGTTTGTTGAGAAAAGTCATCAAGCATCTATAATCACATCTTCTCAAAGTTAGTTTCTGGTGTCTTAGTTGAGGTTCCTCTTGCTGTGAAGAGACACCATGACCACAGCCACTCCTATAAAGGGAAACATTTAATTGGTTCAGGCTTACAGATTCAGACATTTAGTTCATTACCATCATGGAAGAAAGACTGGTAGGACAGAGGCATACCTGGTGCTGGAAAAGGAGCCAGGAGTTCTACATGCCTGTCAGCAGGTAGCAGAAAAACGCTGTCTGTGGGCCTGACTGGAGCTTCTGAACTCCTGAAAGCCAACCTCAGTGAGATGCTTTTACCAACAAGGCCAACCTCCCAATAGTGCTACTCCCTGGTGGTCAGAGTCAAATTTGTGAGTTTATGGAGCCAGTCCTATTCAAACCACCAAAACTACTTCAGAGTTTAACAAGAGTAGATATTGGTGTGAATGTTAAGGAAAAAAATTTAAAACCATGACTTTAAAACACAAAATTTAGAGGTAATTACTTAAAAATATTACTTTTCAGAATTTAGAACTATGTAGAATGATAAGGAAGTCAAATGGTCTACATTGTCAGACTGAATGAAGGACCTGGCTCATAAATTTAGACATATAATCACCAAGAAAATTTCTATGATGGCATTCATGGTTTTCAATCATGCTTGCACTGGTGACTTCCCAGGTACCAAAGTTAGTTTTCACTCAGTGGCTACACAGATTGTGTTGGTTAATCTAAAAAGGTAAAAGAAAACTAAATCAACACACATAAACCTTGTATAGGCCATCTAGAAACAAGGGTGTTGATGGAAAAGAGAGGAGGAGAAAGGAAGAAACTAATAATCGGAACATATCATGTAATGTATGAAATGAACATACAGTAAATTTAACAACCAAAAAGCAGTAAAGAAAAGAAAGAGAAATTTCTCAAAGGATCTGGGAAAATATCTTTGGCAGTAAAGTAGTTGTCTTGGAAGCAGGAGGACCCAAGTGCAGTCCTCAAAGCCTAAAAACTAGGTATGGAGACACATAACTATATTTCCAGTGTAGGGGCTGGGTGGAGTATGACAAATAATTGGGGCTGACAGACAAGTCAGTTTTGTCTTGTGGGTGCATCCAGGTAGGTGAGAGTCCCTGCCATTACAAAATGGACAAATCTTTTTTCATACAAGTCTTTCACTTGCTTGGTTAGAGTTACACCAAGATACTTTATAATTTTTTTTGTGGTTATTGTGAAGGGTGTTGCTTTCCTGATTTCTCTCTGAGCCCATTTGTCTTTTATATACAGAAGTGCTACAGAACTTTTTGAGTTATTTTTTGTATCCAGCTACTTTGCTGAAGGTGTTTATCAATTGTAGGAGTTCCCTGGTAAAAATTTGGGTCGCTCATGTATACTATCGTATCATCTGTAAATAATGATAGAAGATATCAAAAGATAGAAAGATCCCCCATGCTTATGGCTCAGTAAAATTAACATAGTAAAAATGGCCATTTTTCTAAAAGCAATATACAGATTCAAAGCAATTCCTATCAAGATACCAAACACAATTATTTATACACCTTGAAAAAACAATTCTCAACTTTTTAAGAAAACAAACAAACAAACAAACAAAAAACCCCATAATAGCTAAAACAATCCTGTACAATAAATGATCTTCTGGCACTATTTCCATCCTTGATCTCATGCTATACTATAGTGCAACAGTAATAAAAACTGCATGGTACTGGCATAGAAATAGACTGGTGGATCAATAGAATTGAATTGAAAACACAGAAATAAACCTGCACACCTATGAATAACTAATTTTTTTCAAAGATGCCAAAACCATATAATGGAAAAAAAAGATAGAATCTTCAACACAGGGTGCTGGTCTAACTGGATGTCCACATGTAGAAAAATACAAATAGAGCAACATCTATCACTTTGCTTAAAATTAAAGTCTTAGTGGATCAAAGACCTCAACATAAAACCAGACACACTAAATCAGTTAGAAGAAAAAGTTGGTGAGAGCCTTGAACTCATTGTAACAGGAGACAACTTCCTGAACAGAACACTAACAGCTCATACTCTAAGATCAAAAATTAATAAATGTGACCTCATCAAACTGAAAAGCTCTGTTAAGCAAAGAACACTGTCAATAGAATAAATCGACAGCTTACAGACTGGGAAAAAAAATCTTAACTTACCCTACATCTGACAGAGGGCTAATATCCAGAATACATAAAGAACTCAAGAAATTAGACACCAACAAACCACTTAATCCAGTTAAAAATGGGGTACAGAGCTAAACAAAGAAGTCTCAACAGAGGAATATTGAATAGCAGAGAAACACTTAAAGAACTGCTCAGTATCCTTAGTCATCAAGGAAATGCAAATAAAAAAGACTCTAAGATTCCATTTTACACCAATGACAATGACTAAGATCAAAAACTCAAGTGACAGCACATGCTAGAAAGAATGTGGAAAAGGGGGAACACTTTCCCATTGCTAGTGGTAGTGCAAGCTCCTACAGCCACTTCTGAAATCAATCTGGCTCTTACTCAGAAAATTTGGAATAGCACTACTTCAAGATCTAGCTATACTACTCCTGGGCATATACACAAAAGACGCTCCATCATTCAACAAGGACAGTTGATCAACTATGTTCATAGCAGCTTTATTTGTAATAGGCAGAATCTGGAAGCAACCTAGATGTTTCTCAATGGAGGAATGGATACAGAAATTGTGGTACATTTATACAATGGAATACCACTCAGCTAATAAACACAAGGAAATCAGGAAAATCAGGCAAGTGGATGGAACTAGAAAAGATTATCCTGAATGAGGTAACTCAGAAGCAGAAGATACACATGGTGTATAGTCACTTTTAAGCGAATAGTAGCCATATAAAATAGGATACCCATACTAAAATCTAAAATCTTAAAGAAGCTAAATAACAAGGAGGATCCTAAATCTCATTCAGAATGGCACACAGGATAGACAGTAGAAATGATGGAAGAGAGGGAACAGGATGAGAGCCTACTGTAGCATTCTTCTGAAAGGCTCCACCCAACAGGAGATCAAAGCAAATGCTGAGACTCACAGCAAAACTTTGGGCAGAGCACAGGGAGTCTTATGGAAGAAGGGGGAGTTGATAGAAGGACATGGAGGGGACAGGAGCTCCACAAGTAGACCAACAAAGCTAAAAAGTTTGAGTGCAGGGAGTTCTGCAGAGACTGATGCACCAACCAAGGACTATGCATGGAGAGGACCTAGACTATCTGCTCAGTTGTAGCCTAAATAAGGGGAACAGGGACTGCTTCTGTCATGAACTCGGTTGCCTGCTCTTTGATTCCTTGCCTCTGGTGATGCAGCCTTTCCTAGCTACAGAGGAAGAGAATTCAGGCAGTCCTGATGAGACTTGATTAGCTAGGGTCTGATGGCAGGGGAGAACTCCTTCTAAGAGTAGACAAAGGGAAGGTTATGGCAGGAAGAGGGAGGGAGAATGGGACTGGGAGTAGTTGAGGAAGGGGGGCTACAATTGGGATATAAGATGAATAAATTGCAAAAAATTTACAATAATATTAAAAAATGACAAAGCTTGAGGAATCACACCTGAGATTGTCTTCTCCACAAGTACATATTCATACACAAGAAGAAAGGATGAAGAATGTAAGAGAAAAAAAACCAAAAACTCCCTTAGGAAACCTGAAAAGACTATTTCAAAGGGATTAGCTTCAGACTCTACAGTGCTGAGGTGAAATGTCAGCAGGCTGAGCTTTACACAGAGAGATATGATGTAATAGTAGATCTGAAGCACTGTGGCCATTGGTTTCTTTTACTTTCTGCACAAATACTTTAGAGAAAGAACAGTGAGCTCGTTACCTATTTTGTATCCTTCTCCAAAATACAAATAGAATAAATGATCTTCCCAAGTCTGTCTTTTTTTTTTTTCAATTTGGTAGGCCTTGCTTTTAAATATCAGATTTGAATTATAAAACTAACTGAAAAATTTAAACTGTCCATCACATCCACTGAAAGAGTTAGAGCAGGAAGAGTGAACATCTCTGTAAATGGCATTTGAATTTAGAAGGAGAATGTCTAGTCATGGAATTATACTACATTAGAGATGCAGAGTAGTTCTGAGGTATACTGAACTTGGTGTTCCCAGTTCCCAATTATTGTTTGTTTGCATTTGTTTCTGCTCATGTTTAGCTAAATTAATTGGTACTTGTGACAATAAGTTATGAGTAATGAGTACTACTCTAATACAGCATAGTTTGAGCACACAGCCACCCTTTATCCTGTACCCTAGGGACCCCAGAAATGTTCTGCCCTGCATTTCTATACCATGAGAATCGCTTGGACTGCTGAGATAAAATTTTTAGAAAATAGTACACTAAGAAGAAGAAAGTCTCAGATCACTTTGCTGTGGCCATTGCCTCCAGTACTGAGAATGTAAATCTTTGTGCCCAAGAATGCTGAAAGAGAAGACAAAGTATCAAACTGTCCCAGGACAGCCAGAGAGAACATAGTAGCTTTGCTGCAAAAACAATGCCTTGGTGTAATTCTGTGTTCTGTTCCTTTCCTTCCTTAAAGGGGACAGCACTTGTCCTGCAGATAACAGTGCAATGCTGAAGACCCATCAATAGCTGTGTCTTCCATAGAATAACTCCATGTCACAACTCCATGTCTTTCTGTGTGAATAACGTACACTATTAAAGAGCAAAGAATATTGAGAAAATTCACCACCCATAACAAACTATTCTAACTGCTTTTCCAGAGCGAGGCCATTGTGACAGAGGAGAGATTACATTTTAAAGTTTCCTGCAGGTTCAAGTGCTCTTTGAGTTGGACACAATCCTCTACCTCATGGTAAAAGCTGTTTTGTCATTTGATGGCAGATATATATGTGGAAAACAAAGTTCTCAATTTTTCTTAATTATTTTCTTCCTAGATATTTCTGTTGGCGTTAACATGTGCATATCTAGCCAAAGGACTATCAGGAGCTTATATGAATTCTATGCTCACACAAATAGAGAGACAGTTCAGTCTCCCCACATCAATAGTTGGAGTAATCAGTGGGAGCTTTGAGATGGGTGAGTTATTTTTACAGTTACTTATTTTTATATATTAATATTTATCTTTATTTCCTGTATTAGAGTATATAGTCTGAGTTATGTGCTTCCTAATATTGACTGCATAGCCTGGTTTCTTGAGAAGAAGCCAATAATTTAATTATTCTCATGATGACAGCTAATTATTCCCACATATCCTGATAGGGTCTCTTTCTTCTGATGAGCATAGAAGATAAGGAACATTAATTCCAATTCTACCATTTGATAACTCAAAGAGAAGTTAAGGCCTTTTCCTTGGCATTCTAGAATGTTGATGTGAGAGCCTGGAGAAATTTATGTTCCAAATGGGAGAGTAATTTTTTCCCCTACTATGTCTGTGAGCTTCATGGCTCTCCAATCCTAGCCACTAGGGAAGATGAGGAAGCTTTAGTGTTTCTGAGTTGCATCAGACATAATTCCTATGAAGAGAGGATGAACTTCAACTCCTGCATTTGGGTGATGATATGGGATATGAGAGTACAATGGGTGAAGGAGGAAAAGAGTCCTTCTATAAACAAGGTGACATGGAAGCTTTGGTGCTTCTCTTTTCCAGTTTAAGCATAGCTTTTTCCTTCTTCATGGTGAACTTGTCTTTAATGTATTTAATCAAAACAGGAAATAAAATCGAGATTGAAAAGAAGTTCACCCACACTGAGGAGGCTCTGTGCTGTCTCCCAGGGTCAAGTTTCTTAGTGCTTACTATTCCACTCATGTACTAGCCTTTCAGAGGAGTCATGATGAATGGTTTACACAGACCTCACATAGTTTTTTCTCATGTTCTATGCATTGGATGCACCCAGTGTGGAACATTGGTTATCCAAGGTCATATGGGATACAGTTGTGATAGAAAAGGCAGTGTCCTAAAGAAGAAAGTTTTTCCAGGCAAAGAAATCAACAGGTAAATGTGAAGGGAAGTTTTGTTCAGAGAATGAAGTGTCAACTCATTTGGGAATAAAGTCATCCCAGTTTTGTGGAAAGTTAGAACATGAGCATGGAGAGATGTTGAAGGGATGAGAAATTGGTAGGGACCATAGCTTGCTCCGTTGTACCCCTTTTATAACTCAGATGGCTGAAAGCCAGTATGGGGTTAGGAGTGTATATTGATCTTTCTATGCAGAGGACTCTTTATGAAAACACAGGGACATTTCAGGATTATATTTAATTGCACGAAATTAAGCTATATAGGTAAACAGGAAGTCGGTTACACTGAAGTGAAATTATGAGAACTTTTAAACAGCCTATCAGCAGGAATGTTTGTGCTTTTTAACAACAAGGTAAATAGCATTTAGATCTGATTTTCAAGTGCTCATTGGCTCCATGATATTTTGCAGTATTTACTATGACTAGGGTGCCATATGCCACTATTTATACTGTTGCTTTTCAAGGAAAATCCTAATGTTTCACTTTACAAATAAAGACTCAGGAGCCAGATGCTGGGGTAAAAGTCTACTAGCTCAGAAAGTCAGAGAAAGTACACAGTTGACCTTCTTACTCAGCTGACCTCCCAAAAGGAAAAGCCCCTTTTCCTTCTTCACACTGTCTTAAATGCCCTTCAACTCCATATCCCTTCTTCCTCTGTTTTCTTCATATTTATTTTATTTATTTATTTACTTATTTATATTGGTTTTTCAAGACAGGGTTTCTTTGTGTAGCTTTGGCTGTCCTAGAATTGACCAGTCTGGCCTTGAATTCACAGAGATCTGCATACCTCTGCCTCCCTAGGATTTCAGGCATTTGCTACCATACCCAGCCTCCTGTGTTTTTTAATGTTCATGCCTGTCACCTGGTTGCTTATCCACCTCTTTACCTATAGTTGGCTTTATTTTTTTCTTGTTTACCAAAAGCTCTTGTTTAAAGGTGTGTGCTAGGCCTGAGCCACCCCACAACTCCTTGTTTACAATAAACAGAAAGCTCTTGGGTTAAGGTGTGTGCTAGGGCTGAGCCTTACCACATATTATACTGCTGTTGGTGAAGGAATCAAGACTGTTCATGTCACTACTGTCTTACCTTACTCTGAACAGAAATGCTATTGCCCAGTTAATGATTATTGAAAAAAATTCTTGCACAATTTCATGGAAAATTTTATTATTGTTATTAATATATTTGGAAAACTCTAATTCTGTAAATTTCATGTATTTCAGACTAAAGATTAAATATTTCTATTTAAGTTAGAAAATACTAATTATTTCTACCACTAATGGGTGTGGTAGGTGACTTCAGGGGAAATAATTGTGAGAGGAAGCAATTCACATTTGCCAGTGAAAGCAGAACTTATACCATTCAAATATTTAAGATCATTTAGAGGAATGCTAAGTCATTAATGAAGAATGTTACATTTTTGTGATATTTCCTTCATGTATAATAGGAACAGGGTAAACATTCTCATCAAACTAAAAATATGTAGTTTGTAGAGAACTTACTTATGTATTTGGTTCTTTTCAACTCATTTTGTGTGTGTGTCCCAAGGATAGGATAATCCTGAATAGAGCTTTAGTATTGTCCAAAGTGGAGGAGACCTTCCTTTAGTGCCATAATTATTTTACATATTAAATCTATACATAAAACATCCTAAGACCAATCCTTGCATTCTTAAGGGATGGTTTCAGTGTTGTTAAAGCATGAAACCTAGAGCGCAAGTGCAGAGGCTATTGACCAAGAGGGGCCAATACTTTACTGAAACAAGCATTTTCATTCCCCTCTTCCAGGAAACCTTTTGTTGGTCATATTCGTGAGTTATTTTGGAACAAAAATGCACAGACCTATCATTATTGGTGTTGGATGTGCACTTATGGGACTAGGGTGTTTCTTAATGTCACTACCTCACTTCCTCATGGGCCGGTGAGTATTCCAGTCGTTGATGTTAATTTAGGTTCATCATTCAACTACAGAAAATAAGACTCATAATTTGTCTCTGGGAGGAGCGATGCTCCTTCAATGTACAGAAAACTGATATGGAAATTAGAAGATGTGGTATCTGGTTTGCCAATATGATTTGTGACTTTTATGACCTTGTGCCCATTTAATGTCCTGTCCAGTCAATTTGTGAGGAATGAACTTGGGACACAACTTTCATGAATTGAGGACTCATGGATTCTCTAAATCTGCCAACCCTTGGGTTCAGTCTTTCCTCAGAACTATTTTAATACTTTGGTTGCAAGGAATCTACAACTTGACATAATCATGGGTCACCAAGAGATAGACAAGCGTTAAAGCTGATTTTTATTTTGCTGTTTTCCAAAGAAACTTGCACAAAGAATTGAAAAAATTGAGATTTTGTTGAATCATATCTTACTCCCTTTCCTGATTTCTGGGGAAATTTTTCCATTCTTTGTTCTATTTGGCTGTCTGAGTTGGTAGTTTTTTAAAATTCTTTATTAATTACACTTTATTCACTTTGTTTCCTCCCTGTGGTTCCCTCCCTCCTCCAGTCCTAATACCTCCCTTTCTCCACCAGTCTGCACGCATGCCCCTCCCTAAGTCCACTGATAGGGGAGGTCTTCTTTTCCTTCCTTCTGGTCCTAGTCAATTAGGTCTCATCAGGAGTGGCTGCATTTTCTTCTTCTGTGCCCTGGTAATTCTGCTTCACACTCAGGGGGAGGTGATCAAAGAGCAGGCCAATAAGTTTGTGTCAGAGACAGTCCCTGTTCCTATTACTATGGAACCCACTTGGACACTGAACTGCTGTGGGGCTACATCCGTGCAGGGGTCCTAGGTTATCTTAATGCATGGTCTTGGTTGGAGTATCAGTTTGAGGAAAGACACCTGTGCTCAGATTTATTTTGGTCTGTTGCTTTCCTTGTGGAGTTCCTGTCATCTCCAGATCTTACTGTTTTTCACTTCTTTCATAAGATTCTCTGCACTCTGCCCAAAGGTTGGCTACAAGTCTCAGTATCTGCTTTGATAATCTGCAGGGCAGAGCCTTTCAGAGGTCCTCTGTAGCAGGTTCCTGACTTATTCCCTCTTTTCTCCTTCTTCTGATGTCCATCCTCTTTGCTTTTCTGGATAGGGACTGAGCATTTTAGCAAGAGTCCTCCCTCTTGATTAGTTTCTTTAGGTGTACAGATTATAGTAGGTTTATCCAGCAATTTATGTCTATATGAGTGAGTATATACTGTGTGCATCTTTCTGCTTCTGGGATAGCTCACACAGGATGATCTTTTCCAGATCCTACCCTTTACCTGAAAATTTCATGATTTCCTTGTTTTTTTATTGCTGAGTAATTTTCCATTGTGTAGATGTACCACAATTTCTGCATCCACTCCTCTGTTGAGGGACATCTGGGTTGTTTCCAGGTTCTGGCTATTACAAATAAAGCTGCTACAAACATGGTTGAACAAATGTCCTTATTGTGTACTTGAGCCTCTTTTGGATATATGCCTAGGAGTGGTATAGCTGGATCTTGAGGAAGTGCTATTCCTAGTTGTCTGAGGAAGCGCCAGAATGCTTTCCGGAGTGGTTATACAAGTTTACATTCCCACCAGCAGTGGAGAAGGGTTCCCCTTTCTCCACAACCTCTCCAGCATGTGTTGTCACTTGAGTTTTTGATCTCCCTTCTGATGGGAGTAAGGTGAAATCTCTGGGTCGTTTTAATTTGCATTTCGCTAATGGCTAATGACATTGAACATTTCTTTAAGTGTTTCTCTGCCATTCGATATTCCTCTATTGGGAAATCTCTATTTAGCTCTGTACCCCATTTTTAAATTGGATTAGTTGGTTTGCTGCTGTTTAACTTCTTGAGTTTTTTATATATATACTGGATATTAGTATTGGTAGTTTTTAATAATTTAACGTTAAATGCTATACAAAATTTGCAATTTATATTTGCATGACTATAAAAAGGTTTTCTACCCCAGACTCATGCTACTCTTAGTTATAAAATTTAATTTTTATCTAGATTTAATGTTTAGTCCCCCTTTTTCCATTTTCTGTTTTCCATTTTCTCTAAACTTCAAACTTCTAGGCTGTCTCAATTCCATTTTAAAAAATTTACCCATCATTTTTTTCCTCATGATATTTTAGTTTATTCTCTCATCTTCCTCTTCCTCCTGTCTCCCTCCCCTATTTTTAGTTATTTTTTTCATTTTTCTTCACTTTTCTTTGTTTTTGAGATCTTTCATCTATTTTATGTATATGATTGTTTTGCCCCTTTTATATATGTGCACCATGTGTCTGGTATGTCTGGTGTTGGATCTCCCCTGAACCTGGAGTTACAGATGGTTGTAAGCTATCATGTGGGTACTGGGAAATAAGCCCAGGTTCTCTTCAGGAGCAATAAATCCTCTTAAAAACTGAGCCATCTCTTTAGTCCTGCTTGTTTTTCTTTTCTTTTTGAGAAAGGGTATGGCTATGTAGCTCAGGGTTACCCCAAACTCTTGGTGATCCTCCTGCTTCAGCCTTCCAAGTGTCGGTACTACAACCATGAGCCACCACCACTCTCTTTCTTTGTCTCTGTGTTGCTCTTAAATATTCACTGGAGGAGAATCCTGTCTTTTGTTTCCAGGTTTACTCTCCCATACTTCATTCTCTAAAGAAAAAGGTTCTTTATGCACTTTGAAGACACTGTCTCAAACTTTGTGGGAGTTGGTATTAGAATTAGTATTCTAATGCCGGTGTCTAATTCCTAATTCTTATGATTGATTTCTTTTTTAGCTCCATAATCTGAAACTGATGACTATTGGTATAAGAGCTTTGCCACCCCAGTCAGGTGCCTTATTTCAGGACATTTTGCAAAGTTTCTTGTACTGTTTACTCTTTGAAATCTTCTGGGAGAACATCTTGTTATTTTCTCAAGAATTCAGTGTATTTCCTGTGCGACTTTCCTTATGTTTCCATTGTCCCTGGCTCCTTTAAGTATAGCTTTTCTTTGTGTTTGACTTCACTGTAATAGGTTGTCCCCATGATGCCTTGGTTATTTGTTCATATCTGTGAGAATAACAACAAAAAGCTAGCTGGAAATTCTGTATGCAATGCAGACTTGGTTAATGGGAGTTCTGTGTGCCCGCACATGTATGCTGTGTGTGTTTCAGTAGGATAAGTCAATAGGAAATTGAGCAGAGACTGGCCTGTTTTGAGCTGTTTCTAAACTGTGTGTAACTTGTAATGCTAGGGAAAAAATTATCTGCTCTTGCAAAAGATGTAGAAACTCAGCTACTAGCCAGAATGAGTGACAACATCACCTTTTATTATGCAGAGATTTTTTTAAAAAATGTAATGACACTTGTTTTCCGCCACCGCGTCCTCAGTCTTCAGTGTACCTCCTTAGATCTGCTTATACCTGTGAGCAATTCCACTTGGAGAGATGGAGGACAGCACTGTGCATCTAGGTTTTCCATATGTGCACTTTAACCCTCACTTTAGACTTTGTCTTTTGTGAACCCACCTGGGCCCTATGTTGGGAGTCTCTTCTTTCAGCTTTTTGGGGAGACTTGGGACAGATACTGGTGCTCTAAGCGGCACAATGGTTACGTTTCCTTTCACCTTCAATTGAAACATCCGTGTCCCAATCTCCAAATCCCATGGATCTTAAGCTGACTATCCTTTCAATATCTTTCTCACGTCTTTCATGTGACGTCATGAACAACTCTGAGGAGTCTATTTTTTTTTCTCTGTATATACCCTATGGGACCTGGGTGGAATCTATGTTGTCAGGCTTTCACATAAGCATATTTACATATAGAGGCATCAGGTATCTCACAAGCCTCTTTTTTTTTAATAGAGTCTCACGTAACTCAGGGTACTCTCAAACTCACTCTATAGATAAAGATATCTAATTCTCTTGAACACATCTCTTGATTGCTGGTATTGCAGGTATTTCTGACCATTTCTGATTTTATTGAGTGTTCAGCATCTAACCTGGGATTGGTACTTTAAGGCACGAATGATCAATAGAGCTACATCTTCATATTGGATCTCTTTATCCTTGAGGAAATGAACTTTCTTCCTTTTTGTTTTGAAACTTCTTACTGCTATTTTATTGTCATTTGGGGAAGTAAATAGACCTTGAATGAACAATTGAATTTTAAGTAGATAATGACACAAATGAAGGTGATTTTATCTTCTTGGGTGTTTTTGAAGGACACTGAAAGATTCTGAAAGGAATTTAAATTTTTTTTATTTGAGTCAATGTCAAGAAATATTAGACTATTATTGTTTTTTCCACTTTCTGCCAAAGGTGGTAATTCTTTGAATCTGTCCTATTCTCATGGGATCAGGAGGTGACACACAGGCCCTACAGTTTACTGTCCAACTCTGTGGCCACCTCCAGGAAGCTGTTCAAAGGAAAAGTTATTTTGAGTTTTGTGCTATATCATGCAGTATAGAAATTGGAATTTTGGGAAGTATAGCTCCCTACTCATCCAGAATTCAGAAGCCTGCGTTTTACTCTGGTTGTCTCTCATCTAACAAAGTCTTAGAAATAAATCGACCATACTCCCATTACAATATGTGGAATTTTTTGTTGGAGTTAAAGAATGGTTGTTTCAATTCTCAGAAAGGAAGGACAGGGCAAGAGAACCCAGAGCAAGTATCCTGTTTGGTGTTCTTTGTCTCTCTCTGAGCTTTTATCTTCTTACTTCTATCTTATTGAGTCTCTTTTTTTCTTTGTTTTTTTATAGCACACCAGTTATTTCTAGGAAATAGTCATTTAGAAACCACCATGTGTTGATATCAATATAAATGCTGTGTCACCTACAAATAGAGACTTGAGAGGTCATTGAAAAGAAAGGGCTGTATTTTGGTGACTTTCAAGAGTTCTTAACAATACTGATTCATCTTTTTGATCTGTTTATTTGTTGTGAGATAAGCTCTAATGAAGCCCAGGCTGCTCTCAAACTTGCTGTGTAGTTGAGGGTGTCCTTGCAATTCTGAGTCTCTTCTCTTTGCCTCTCGAGTGCTTTGGTGGCAGTCAGAGGACACCACAGCCAGTTCATTCAGTTCTGGAACTTAACACCCGACCTACCTGTGTACCCTAAAGATACAGATATCTATATTTATTTGTGTGTGTGTGTGTGTGTGTGTGTGTGTGTGTATTCATGTGTAGTTCAGAGGGCTACTTAATGCATAGAGTCCTTCCTCTTCTTCCACCTTCATGTGCATTTCAGGGATTGAACTCAGGTCATCAGGCTTGTGCAGCAAGTTCTCTTTTTGCTGTGTCATCTCGCTGGCTCCACCATAGGACTTATGGTGATGAGAGTGACCGCTGTGTAAACATGTCTTTACTGGCTCTGGATGCTGTGTCTTCAGGGAAGCAGGGGTCACTAATCTGCAGATGCTCTCCTTGCACTCAGCTCCTCACAGTGAATGTTTCCTGTGTCCACACAGATATGAATACGAAACAACGATTTCACCTGCAAGCAACTTGTCCTCAAACAGCTTCCTGTGTATGGAAAACAGAACCCAGAACTTAAAGCCAACACAGGACAAAACAGGTTGACTAGAATTTTTATTGCTTTCTGCTCAGAGACTCAGCCACAGAATCCTCTTTTACAAAGGACTTTGAATATAATATGGGTTTAGTAGAAATGTAAGACAAATGGATAATATTTACTTCCCCCTTCAGAGAAGTGAGTTATCTAATAATCTAGAATACTCTCTCTCTCTTGAGTTTGGATATACTTATTAAGATTCCTTTGTTTATTTTTTAACAATTTTATTCATTTAGTTATTCATTTTACATCTGGATCGTAGCTCCCTCCCCTTTCTTCTCCTGATCCCATATTCCCTTACTCTTCCCCTTCCCTACTCCTCAGAAAATGAGCCCCTTCCATTCCACCCCAGCACATCAAGTTGCATCAGGACTGAGTGCATCCTCTTCCCCTGTTTTCTGGCAAGACAGCCTTCTCAGGGGGAAGAGATTAAAAAAAAAGCAGGTAACGAGATCATGTAAGACACAGTGCCCTCTCCCTTGTTGAGGGATCCACATGAAGCCTGAGCTACCCACCTGTGTAGGGGGCCTAGGTGCAGTCATGCATGGTCCTTGGTTGATGCTTCAGTCTATGCAAGCCCTTCTGGGGCTTGGTTAGTTTGCTTTGTTGGTCTTCTTGGAGAGCTCCTGTCCCCTCTAAGTCCTCCTATCCTCCCCACTTTTCCATAAGACCCTTTATGGTTTGCCCAATGTTTGGCTGAGAGTCCAAGCATCTGTTTTGATCCACTGTTGGGTGGAGCCTCTCAGAAGACATCTATGCTAGGCTCCTATCTGCAAGCATAGAGAATGCTATTAATATTGTCAGAAGCTCATTTTCTCACAAGGGATGGGTCTCAGGTTGGGCCAGGCATTGGTTGAACGTTCCCTCTACCTCTGCTCTATCTTTATCCTAGCCCATCTTGTAGGCAGTGTAAATTTGGGTCAATGTTTTTGTGGGTGGGTTGGTGTTCCTCTCCCTCCCTCCACTAGGAGTCCTGTATAGTCAGAGGGTGTCCTTTTCAGTCTCTGTGACCCTGCTACTAGGAGTCTCAGCTAGAGTCATCCCAAAACTTCCCAAAACACTACTCTGCTGTAGGCTCCAGCCTGTTAAAGAGATGACTCTGCCCACAATTTTCTCTCTACAGGACCTCTGTCTTCTCATCTATGCTCTCCCAGGTCTGATCTCCACCTTCATTTCTCTCCATGTTCCCTCTCCTACCTTGTTCCCTTTCTTCCACTGCTTCTGCTGTCTATTCTATTTCAACTTTGAGTGATATTTAAGCATCCTCTCTCAAATCCTCCTTGTTACTTTTCTTCTTTGGGTCTGTGGATTGTGTTATGTTTATCCTGTACTATGTGTTGAAAATCAACTTGCAAATGAATAGATACCATGTGTGTCTTTCTGGGTCTGGATTACCATACTTTGTCAAACAGAAGACCCAGAAATTAACCCACACACCTTAAGGTACTTGATTTTTGACAAAGGAGCCAAAATCATAAATGGAAAAAAAGAAAGCATCTTCAACGAATGGTCTAACTGGATGTCTATATGTAGAAAAATGCACATATATCAGTTTTTCTCTCCCTGCACAAAACTAAAGTCCAAGTTTGACCAAAGACCTCAATATAAAACCAGATATATTAAATCTTTTAGAAGAGAAAATGGTGATAAGCTTTGAACTCAGTGGCAGAGGAGACAACATCCTGAACCAATAGCTGAGGCTCCAAGATCAATAATCAATAAATGGGACCTCTTGAAACTGAAAAGCTTCTGTAAGGGAAAGGGCACTGTCAATAGAACAAAATGGCAGTCTATAGATTGGGAAAAGGTATTCACCAATCTGCTTCTTAAGCAACATTATAGCTCTAGTTTTAAAAGAAAAAAACTACTTAGAAGGATAGACTAAGACAGACGATATTATCTGTGGTATTGGTTTTCTGTTGCTATAATAAAACAATGATGTATTGTATGTTTACAGAAAATTTTGACTTAACTGTCGGTAACAATTCACTGTCAAACACTCATGTGGTTTTCTCTTGTTTTAATGCAGAGTGTGTGAAAGAAATGAAAACATTAATGTGGATATGTGTAATGGTGGGCAATGTTATACGTGGAATTGGTGAAGCTCCCATCATGCCTTTGGGCATTTCCTACATAGAAGATTTTGCTAAATCAGAAAATTCTCCCTTATACATTGGTAAGAATGGAAATCACTCTTAGGAGGGTATAAATAAATTATTGATTTGGGTCTTTGTGGTTTCCAGAGAGTGAGCAGAGTGCTACACACTGTAGGTCATTAGGTTGTTCAATGGGGAATTTTATAGGGGCTCCAGAACAGTCACTTCGTCACACTGCTTCTCACTGTTGGGGAGCCCTTTCATACCACCACACTATCTCAAAATCATGAGAAGATTCCCCAATATTTTCTGGAAAATCTTCCTTAGATTTAATTATTTTTTTATTTTTGATGCCTTTATATTCTCATTCCTTCATCTTTAACTTTCTGTGATTTTTAATAATGGCCATTTTGTATCAGCAGTATTTTAAAATAAATTTTTACTCCCTCCCCTCTGTCTCTTTCTCTTTCTGTGTGTCTGTGTGTATGTGCATGTGTTTACTTGCATTTGGCAGTTGGACAGTGGATTGATCTAAGGTTCTTAGGCCAGGTTTGATGGACAAACCTGCGTCTTTACCTGCTCCTCCATCTGGCTGGCCCTGTAGTGTTTTCTCTTGTCATGCTCTCATAAATCTTGCAGAGTAAGCCTTATCAAACACTGTCTTCTCTATCATCTTCACCACACCAACTGTTTTTTTTATTATCATCTGCTCTCTTTTGCTATTCAGGGCTCTGCACTCTGCTTCTTTATGAAGTTAATGGTAGAGTTTCCTTCCCCATAGCCCCTTAGCATAGACAGGCTTCTTCACTCTTTTAACAAACATTTGTGTTTATTCTTTTGGTTGTATTCCTTAAAATTATCATAAAAAATCCTAGCATTTTTCAGGCAAGAGGCAAATTCGTGTCTTTATGTCATCTCCTAAATGATGTGAGTTTATTATCCACAATATGTTTTTGAGTAAATCAATTTGTAGTTATTAAATATCCATAACTATATATAGCAGTGTTTCTGTGGGTCATAACCTTGTGGGTCAAGCCACCCTTTCACAGGTGACATCTAAGAGAATCTGAAAACACAGATATTTGTATCCCAATTCATAGCAGTAGCAAACTGACAGTTATTTAGTATTAACAAAAATAACTTTATGGTTTGGGGTTACAACAACATGAGAAATTGTATTATGGGTTGTGACATTAGGAATATTGAGAACCACTGGTATATAGGATATTTTTCCATATATCACCTAAAAAAAAAACAAAACAAAATAAAGCCAGGTGTGGTGGTGCATACCTCTAATTCCAGCAATCAGGGAGGCAGCAGCAGATGGATCTCTGTGAGTAAAGGCAGCTTGGTCTACAAAGTGAGTCCAAGAGAGCCAAGGCTATATAGAGAAAACCAGTATTGGAAAAACCAAAACCAACCAACCAACCAACCAAACAAACAAATAAATAATCAAAGGGGGTAAGAGAAGAAATGAATAGGTTTAAGATTAATGAAGATTCATTAAATTAATTTTTTTCATTTCATTTTTGAGATTTATTAGTTTGGCAATATTTTTCTTAGTGTTAATCTAATCATTTTCTTTAGCGCCCTTCACAGTCATCTAAGAAAAAAATTACAAGCACTTTTCTTCCATAAGTTGTTGGTATATGAATCCCGTTATCAAAACTCTAGACACAGGTTGTATACTTAAATATATAAAATACATAATAATTTTATTAAGGTGAGAAAGATAACTTGCATTGTAGCTAGACCTTTGGCTACTTTATTGGGTTCTTTTTTCTACTTCCCTACACCACCCCTATCCATTCTAACACCCCAAACAATAGGTAGAGGAGAAAGAAGGTTAGAGGGGAAAAAGGGGACTTCATTGTCATTAAACTACTTTCTGCTGATTAAGAACTTGAATTCCTAGGGGCAGTTTGATCTTGGTTTAGGATATCTTCAACCAGAAAACAGCATCAGAGGAAGCAACAACCACTGGGCCTCTTGAGGATCTGGCATTTATATATCTTCTGAATAGTCCCCAGAGTTGCAAACCTAAACTTTCTGCACCTGGCAAATCATGGCCCTGCCATAGCACGAGACAAATCACAGTTGGTGTGGAAAATCTGAAGCAGCCCCATATCTCATACCTGGAATTAAAACAAAAACATATTCTTATAACTGGGTTTTTTAAGGAAACCAAATTTCTCACTACAGTTTATATAGCTTATGTTTAGTACACAAATATCTTAATTTTCTAAATAAACTTGGTGTATACACACATATGTAATATTTATATAGCTTTCATTTAGAAATAACTATAAAACAAATCAGAAACCAAGAATACAGTTCCATATAAGGCTCTGTATATGAAGGGTTATTGAGGCCAAATATAAAAAATGAGAGTTATCTAGGCTAGAAAATAAGTTAAGTATAGAAGGAATGAGGTTGCCTTTGGAAGACATATAAGTACTGAAATTCTATAGATCCATGCACTGGATCTTAGTGCTACTTAGTGAAAGGAGGAAAATCAGTAAGTAGCATCTGTGGGAACAAAGTGAACTGAACTGCAAATGTATAGTTTGGCATAGGTGTTAGGAGGGAGGTGACAGATGAGTTGGCCAACAATGTCAACTAAGTTAAGAGCATAAAGATCATTAATGGAAAACATGATCCATGATGGAGGTCACTGGTGGTACCAAGAGAGCACCTTGGAAAGCATCTGAACAGAATGAGAAGCAAGGAGTCAAGGCAGACAGTTTGGGGCAGGAAAGATTCAGTGAGGTCTGGAGATCTTGTAGGAATCATTGCAGAGAGGACATCAGGGAGAATTTGAGAGACCACAGAAGATACAAGAGTTTGTTACTAAGAAGTCAGGCACTCAGAGAAGGACTAACCCATAGATCCACAGGGAGAGAGACAAATCTAAAATCTAAAGTGGAGAGAAGAAAGGATGTTGACATTGTTCATATCTGGGTTTCTGTGGGTAGGAATGGCTCTGGAGAGATTCTGGATTGAAGATAGTTTGAGAGATGGTAGAGATGGTTTCAAAGAAGCCAGGTGTTGTTGGAAGGGTCCAAGAAAATGAAATAATTAAGATGAAAAGAAGACCAGGATAACATCATGAGAAGTGCTGAAATGACAATTTTTTTTCTGTGGAAGGACATTTTTTTAGAGTGGAGCTTTGATAAAGATGCCTTACAAGACATTCATTTTAATTCACAGATTTAGAAATTGTGCTAGTTTCATCTATATTGCTGTGAAAAAAAATGCAACACTGGAACTAAAGGGGTTCATTTAGAGAACAGCATTCATTTGGCATACAATTGCATCATAACAGGAAGTCACAGTAGCAGGAGCTTGAAGTAGCTGGTTACAATGTAAGAGCAGAAAGAATGAAGATATGCATGCTATGTCTTCGCTTTCATGGATGTGCTCAACTGTTTCTCCACTCTTATGGAGTTCAGGACTCCCTCCCTAGGGAAGAGTGCTGCCCACAGTGGACTCAGTCTTCTCACTTCCATTAACTTAATTCAGAAATCGACTGACATGTCCACACCTAAACCCAATGCAGATAGTACTTTATTAAGACTCTACTCCCAGGTAATTCTAGGTTGTGTCAAGTTGACAATTAAAGCTAAGCCTCACAGAGACTCTGAAAACATGCCTATGGATGCATCAGAGCACCTTGCTCTCATCATGGTGTTGATGGGACATGCTGTGACAGTAGAGTCTTTGCCTTTAGTGTAGCATGGAAGAGAATTTGGTAAGGGGATTTAAGTAACAAAATTTCAATGTCAGTCAACTTTCTTTCACTTTAATAAATATCTGAAATAATGGTTTATAAATAGAAAGGATTCACTTGGCTCATAGCTTTGGGGCTTTTTGTCTATGTTGTGGGACTGTGAGGTTTGGAGGCCTGTCATGAGGGAGCTCATTATGGTGGGAGGATGAATAGAGTAAAATCATTTATCTTGTGACTGAGAAGCAAATATAATAAGGAAGAGGTAAGGTTCTATATCAGAGGACCTGAAGACCGACCACCATGCCCTGCCTGGGAAGGGTTCCATCAGACTCCAGTGATGTGCCCCTGAGAAACAAGTCTATAACAGATGAGATTTTGGGGAACAATCTATATTGAAAAAATGGAAGATTCTTTCTCAATATTTATCAAAGCCAATGTATGTACATGTAACATATATGTACCTATAACATATATATGTACATGTTACATAATTCTAAGGTTAATTTCTTTACATGTTGAATATACAAAAATATCTGAGAGAGTGGGATATGTAGCTCATTGATATATCACTTTCGTGGCCTATTGGATTGGATGACCAGCAATGCAAAGGAAGGAAAATAAATCTAAGATTAAAAATAATTCAATCTCAAGGCTTTATTTATGCAAGCAGATTCTTTGTGTGTTCATGTAAATTCCTGTTTTTCTTTTTTTTACTTCCAGGGATTATGGAAACAGGAAAAATCATTGGCCCATTAACTGGACTTTTGTTGGGATCCTTCTGTGCAAGGATTTATGTAGACACTGGGTCTGTGAATACAGGTAACACAATGCATTTTATTTCTACAGTCCATCCCATAGGGCGGGAGAATGTTCAGGAGAGCATTGATTCTCAGTTAGATATACACCACTTACAGAGGGAGGATGTAAGGGGAAAAAAGGTAAGGATAAAATATTGAGTTTGGATTCAAAATCCATCATTGTCCTACCATATTTCACCACACCTTTGGCCTCAAAATTTTATATACATAGGGTTTTTTTTTCCCAATGAGGCAGTCACTAAGGATAACAAAACAGATCTTTCATTTATGTGATGCAAATAAGTTTATAAAGGTTTCAGATTACAAACAGAAATACTCATTTACTTTTAAAAATATATAACACCACATACTGCTAGATAAAATTAGTTAATTTTTTAAATGACTACAAAAAATAATTGGGTAATATGCATTTTATCTTATCTTTGTGTGTGTGTGTGTGTGTGTCTGTGTGTTGCCTGATTAGGTCAGAAGAGGTCACATCTCCTGAAATCAGAGGAGCCTCAGACACTTTTTCTAAAGGTCTAAATTATCTTGGCTCCTTGTCAACTGCCAACATTTGAGAAGCAGAGGCAAAAGTAGAGGATCACAAGTTCAAGGCCCAAACAGGAACAAGAACAAATGATACACAAACTTTATGCTCAGATGGAATTATGAGAATTAATAGTTCTCTACAGTTTACACAGGAAAGACTGATGCAAGCAAGCTAATACAATATCTGTGTTTCTTTCCAGATGACCTGACCATCACTCCCACTGATACACGCTGGGTTGGAGCTTGGTGGATTGGTTTTCTGATCTGTGCAGGAGTGAATATCCTGACCAGCATCCCGTTTTTCTTTTTGCCAAAAACACTCCCAAAGGAAGGAAGAGAGAAAAATTCAGATGAAACTATAAACAACAAAGTTGAGAAATACAGAGAAAAATCAAAAGAGGAAAAACGTGGAATTTCTAAAGGCAAGCAGGAAAACTTTGAACTCTATTTGTCACGCCATGCTGAGTTAAGACAGTGTGCCACTAATGGTCCCTGCTCAGATGTGCTAAACTTCTTCTAAAGTTTCCTCTTGGAAACAACTGACATAATTTGGAATCTGAGTTACCTTAGATTAGACTTTATGAAAAATTCATGACAATTTGAACACTCAATGAGCAAATATAATTTCCCATCTGTCTTGAAAATCCTATTTTATAAAAAATATTAGTCCAACATAATAAAGATACAAATAACCAGACAGCCAAGCTAAAGCTAAAGATAAAATCTTGTTTGATAAGACAAATTTTAGTATAGCTGTGAGCATCCTTGAAGTTAAGGCTGAAAGAGAAAGCATGATCCTTGAAAGCATTTGAAGGTGTGTGATAGTTTACAAAGTAATTATTCCCTTAAAATAGAATGTTTTCAAACAAGCTGGAATGATATTAACCTATGATGTAGACTATTTATTGCTGCTTTTGTGAGAAGCTAGGATGTGACAGCAGAGTGTTCTGGCACAGACTGGTAAACATTTTACTAATGACATTGCTGTTTCCTCCATCACTCATAGCCCCCGACAGCTACTTGCACTGAATAGTCACACATCTGCTTTGAACACTACAGACCATACTGAGGAGCCAGTCACACTGGGAGCCAGTGCAGGGGCTTGAACATTCTTAGAATCATGGTCATGTTAGCGATTGTCCTGAAAGGGTCAACACTGACCTCTCTGTGCAGTTTTGTGATCTGCCAGATCAACCTAATTTCAAAACTAGGAAAGAGCTGAGCAGAGAATAATACATACAAGAAATAACTGTGAGCTGTGGAGATACACTTAGGAGGACAGGGAAGTCAACAAACATGGGTGAATTCAAAAGCTTTTGGGAGTTCTGACTGCAAACATCTCACTCATAAAGATAGATTTTACCACTAGAGTCCAGTTTTTAATGAAACTGTTCTGCTTCGACCTCTAATTTGTTCCTTGATAGTTTTCTCTAAATGAAATTCCATGTAATTTATTAAGGATAGTATAAAATTTGAAAATCAAGACAGTAGACATGAAAACATGAAAAGGAAGCAGACTTATGTGTGAATTTCAGGCAAATTATCTTGAATGAGATCTAATCTATTTTCTAGAGACAGTCTCCAAACTTGACTCTCAGCTTCTTTAATACCTTGAATCTCAGCTTCTTCTTCTTCTTCTTCTTCTTCTTCTTCTTCTTCTTCTTCTTCTTCTTCTTCTTCTTCTTCTTCTTCTTCTTCTTCT